TGGACTTCTCTCCGCCTCCGCACACTCGTACTCGTACTCCTCCCACTCATGAGATTTCGGACCTGACGGGGGTGAGGGGGGGGGGGGAGGGGAAAGGGAGAGAGAGGTATCAGACCTGGGACCCGCGGCAGAGAAGGAGGTAGCGGGCGTTGATGGGCAAGGACAAGGTAACGCTCCTGCTCATACTCTTTTTCTTTCTTTTCTTTCTTTTTTTTTCTTTTCTTCTCTTTTTCTCTCTTCATCTATTCGTACCTTTCTTAACCCGAGATACAATCCATGTAGTGCCGATATACCGACAGTACGGATATGAAAAAAAGAAGAGGGAGGGTAGGGGTTTAACCATCCTATCAACACATGGGGTTGAACAAGATGGCTTAACAGGCACAGTCCTTCCAACACACACCCCTGGATCTTTTTCTGTGCCCTTCCCGCAAGTCCTCGTACGCATCACAGGCTTTTTTCCAAGCTTGTCGCTCTAAAGAATGGAAATAGAAGATATGGGAAGAAAAAGGAAAGAAAAGAAAAGTACATTTCTAGGAGCCGCGATGTCAGTTTTCTCTCTCTTATGTGTCGGGCTGTTTTCATTTTTTTTTTTTTTTGGTATATGTGCAGATAGGAGCATACCAACCCCGATGCCAACCCCAACAACCCCTTCCTGACAAAATAAGAAGAAGACAAAAAAAATAAAAATAAAGCCTGTCCTTGTCATTATGTCGCGTCTAAGTGGGGATTCCGCACAGACACGCGCGCGCAGGGGCGCCATGCGGCCCTCGTCGTCATGTCAAGTAGTCTAGGGTCGCCTCGATATGCGACCTGGGCGCTTAGAAGACAGATGTAAAAGGGTCACGGCAGATCTCATCCCATCGAGCTAACAGCTACCCATCCCCTCCATCCCGTGGCCTCGCTAGGCGGGCGAGCGGGAAAAGGGGAAGAAGATCGGCAGTGCAACAATTGTCTTTCTCAGTCGGTGTCGTTGGGTAGATTAGTATTTGTTTAGATAAAAATTGAGAATTTTTTTTTAAAAAAAAAAGATTGAGAAGAGAGGGAGAGAGACTGGGCGAGACATGAACAGGAAACAAAAGAAAAGAAGAGAAGAAAAAGAAAAGAGAAGAAGAAGAAAGCCATGGCCATGTCCATGATCAAAACAAGTTTGGCGGAGAGGGAGAGGGAGAGGGAGGGGGGAGGGGGGAGCTCTCACCATCCAATGCTGTTCTCAACCAACTGACCTCCCCGAGAAGCTGGTCAGTGCAGCTCCTAGCTCCTAGTCATGTATCATGATGAATGCAGTCTGTGGGGGGGGATGAGGAGGAATTTGTACGGTTGACATGATTTTCGAATCCTTGACGAGGTCGCCTACTAGGTAGCCTTGTCAAGGCAGAATACACGCATCACCGCAGACGCAGACACAGACAGTTTTCTTCTCCTCACTTTTATTCCTCTTCGGTGGTGTGTCTTCCTCGTATGACTTTGCGGGGACTGCATCTTCTTCCTCTTCTTTCTTCCTCTCTTCTTTCTTTTTCTAATCAACGGCTCGGGCGGGAGGGTAAAAGTCTCAGATTACAGATGGTTCCGGTCTAAAGTCCTACAGAAGAGCACGCAACTCGAGAGGGGCGGGGTTTGGTGGTGGTGAGACTGGACTTCATCACCTGGTAACCGGAGAGTGACCTACTCGGTAAGCACATGACGATTGCTGCCTGCCTGCCTGCTCTGTACCAGATGCAAAAGAAGAAGTAGAAAAAGATGGAAAATAAAAATAAAAAAAGAGAGGGAGGAGATCCTTGGCGATGCCGAGAGAGGGGCGACGGTACGTATAGTCATCGAGGTCGTGGTACGGCGGTGCACGCGCATGAACGAACGAACGGACGGGTCCTAGTATTACGACGTTCCGGCTCTAAAGAGGACAGGTAGTAGGTAATAGTAGTGAAAACCCATGTATGACTTGCAGGGGTATCTCACTCGATAATATCTACCCGTCATACAGAAAAGGGGAACTTTGGGGGGCGGAGGGGTGAAGGGTTCCCACTGAAGAAGCAGAGAGGATACTCGTACTACATTTTCAGCGTCGTTATCTGGTTGCGAGATATACATATACATGTATGCATGTATACATATATACACATATATATATATTGATCCTTTTTTTTTTTTCCTTTTGCTCGTATGTCTCTCTCTCCCCCCACCCCCACCCACCGTCGTCATCTAATATTCGTCTTCTCTTTATTGTCGTTCGGGAAGCGCGGTCGGTTACCAGAGGTTGAAGAGAAGGAGAAGACGAAAGAAGAGGAAGGAAGGGAGGAAGGAAGGAAAGAGGTACAATGGCAGCAAAGAGAAAAGAAAATGCACAGACACACACGCACACACACACAGAGAGAGAGCGGGAAAGAAAAAGAAATGTATATATATGTATATCGATATATGCGTGTGTGTGTGTGTGTGTGTGTGTGTGTGTGTGTCAGATGTGATGTGTTGGCGATGCAGTTGTCGAGCGTCGCTTGTTGCGTCTTTCGGTAACCAATTGTCTAGGGGAATCTAAGCGCGCATGTGGGGAGACGGAGTCATGTTACCATCTGCCCAGGTTGCGAGTACTTATATCACATGCCGTCGGTCCCAATCCCAAAAAGGGGAGCTGGGAGAGAGAGAGAGAGAGAGAGAGTTGATGGTACGAGTTTTATATATATATGTATATATATATATATATGTAAAGTAATTAATATAGTAATATAGTAGTATAGTAATATAGTAGTATAGTAACATAGCAACATGTACGAGCAGGCTACATGTGTGCTCAGTTACGGATACACTGGATAGTTACGGATACGCTGGGGTTACGGATACGCTGGGTAAGGAAAAAGGTACGGAGCAACTCGGTAGGAAAACTACCAGCGGGAGAAGAAAAAAAAGACTATATAGCACAGGTCCCAGGAGCGACCAGCACGAGTACTGGATACATATCAAGAGACCCGGGTACTACAGGATATGCATGTAGAGTCTACCAGCACTACTATATACTGTATACTATTAGTAGGGGAAGAAGAAAAAAAAAGGGGAGGAGACGTGTATGGATGACGACGGATCCATAGTTACGGATCGACATGGTTGGTGGGAGCTGGGGAGGGGAGTGTCGATAGTATCCCCAATGTATCGCTACTCAACCTCGATATACCCTACATCTGGTCGTATATTACCTGTACATCATGTACTACGTACTAGGCTCTATACGTACACATCTATCCAATACATAACAGTTACCTCCTTGCCGAGCAAGTTTTCTTGATGCAGAGTCCGAATGGTAAGGACCCAGAAATCATCCCTGCTTAGCGTATCCCGGGAATCTGGTAACGCCAAGAACGGCGCAGCAGAGACGACGGCTTCTGTGAATGGATAGAACCAGGACCATCGACCGCATGAGCGGGGGGGGGGGGGGAGGACAGCTTTCCCTTTCTCTCTATCCATACAGGACAGGCAAGGACAAGTGCTACAAGTTGGAGAGAGAGAGAGAGAGAGCGTGTGTGTGTGTTTGACAAAGATGGAAAGAGCGAGAGAGAGAGAAAGAGCGAGAAAGAGAGAGAAAGGGAAGGAGAGAAGGAGAGAAGGAGAGAGAGAGAGAGAGAGAGAAGCCCCTCCCCGTACAGCGCTCCAAGGTAGTTAGCACTGATCGATATGCCTAGACTAGACACACAATGTTACTTGCACCTCGCACGACTCCCTTCTCCGTAATCGTCCTTCCCTGCCAGCGGATCTTGCCTGCCTGCCTGCCTGCGTGACTGACTGACTGGACCTCTCCGGCGCTCTGCTCTGCCTCGGACCAGGATCCCACGTAAACCGTACGAGTAAGTGTCATGCCGTGTGCGCATCTCTGCATCTGTCGGTACCCAATCGCCATCCGTTCTTCATATTTTGGTCAGTGGCCTACCTCGGCGCATAGCAGAAAAAAGATGAGCTCTTTTTTCTTTTTCTTTTCTTTTTTTTCTTTTCTTTTCTTTCTTTCTTTTTGTTTTTTTTTTTCCTTTTTCCTTTTTTCCTCTTCCCTTCCCCCCTCTCTTTTACCCTTTCTTCTTCTTCGCATGTGTTGTCTGTTCATCGATCCACAGTTTCCCTCTCGTAAAGGAAATAGAAAAAGAAAGAAGAAGAAAAAAACTCCCATCTCACCCATCTCTCTCCCCCTCCCCCCTCCAATCTCTCTCTCTCTCTCTCTCTTCGGACAAGATAGGACAAGAAAAGAAGAAGGAGAAAGAAGAAAAAAAGGGGGATAGATGAAAGGCATCATAGATGATATCAGTTTAGTGTGACGAGTTTTCAACAAACAAAAAAAAGCTCAAAATGGCCAACTACAACCCTGTCTTTCTTTTTTTCTTTCGGGGGGGGGGGGGGGGGGGGGGGGGGGGGGGGGGGGGGGGGGGGGGGGGGGGGGAGCGGACGGCTGGCTCTCGGCAATATAGCAGCCGGGTAAAGAATGAACTAGTCAACTTTTTTCCGTTCCTTTCTCTCCCTCTCCCTCTCTCTCTGTCCTGGAGTGACAAGAGGCGAAAGAAGGAAAAAAAAAAAAAGGAGACATTAGAAAAGATCGAAAAATATTTAAAATTTAAGGAACAATAAAAGAAAAGGATCAAAAGGCAGGGGCCGCCGCCGCCGCCGCCGCCGCCCGACTATTGATCGACTTTGCCGGAGGAGGGGGAGGAGGGGCTGATGTGGTGTGTATGTGTATGTCTCTCTCTCTCTCTGTGTGGGTGTGTGTGGCGGCTGGGGCTGGACGGACGATCCACACCAACCACAACTCATATTCTTCTCTCTGAAAAAAAAAAAAAAAAAAAGGGCTTTTCAGTACAGAAACGGGCGTGTAATGAGTCTAGAGGGTTGGTACCTCCCCTCCTCCTCCTCCTCCTCCTCCCCCCCCTTTCCTCTCCTCCCCCCATTCTATTCGGACAGAGTATTCGGCTTCTCCGTATGGACGGTGTGGTGGACATGTACAGAAGGAGAGCCAAGAAAGGTGGATGGGATGCACAACAACGGCCGTTTCCTCCCTCCCCCCCCTCCTCTTCCTTCTCTTCTTCTTCTCAACGCGGCGGGTTCAGAGAACGAGGCGGAGATGATCATCATGATTGTCATCATGTTGTGATACATTAAAAGATCCCGTTCGTTACGATGACACGCACCGCACTACGTTCAGAATGGGGGGGGGGGGGGGGGGGGGGGGGGGAGGGGAAGGACCAGGAACGAAAAAAAAAGAAAAGAAAAAAGACAAGGCAGATCGTTACACACCTGAGGTATCCTCTGATCGATCTCTCTCTCTCTCCGTGCCTCTCGGTTTACGACGTATTGAGTTCCAAGAAAAGGTGCATGGCAATTGATTGCGAGACGTTGACGTCGCGACCATGTGTTCTAGAGTACGGAGTACTGTACATGGTATTGCTCATTGTAGCATGATTATATATATTATATTACATACATTTATATACACTTTGTACTATATACAGATTATATATATATATATATATATATATATATGTGTGTGTGTGTGTGTGTGTGTGTGTGTGATGTGTGTACTGTATACAGATTACTCTCGTACTCGTAATATCAACATCTCATCTCCATGCATTGACAAGCGGAAGAGATAAAGAAAGAGAGGAGAAGAGGAAGAAGAAAAAGGACCACGACCTCACCCTTTCGTGAACTTCCGTCTGCTGTGAGAGGGGGAGAGGGGGAGAGGGGACAATTCGTCTGCGGTACGAACCTGGAGAATCGCATGTCTGCACAGGGCCAGGGGAGGGATCTGTAGATGCTCGACAGTAGAAGAAATGACGGCTTCCATCTTCTCTAGTGCCGGCCCCGACGCTTCGCTAGCACCGTTCGGTGGACGGCGTGATCTGTGATCTGTTGGCCCTTGGGGGAGCGGGTGAGTACCGAGTTATTAGTAGTAGCAGTCGTAGATCGTATCGGCGAATACGAGTATCGGCGAAGAAGAGGCTTACTGTCGACGACTTTTTTTTTTTTTTTTTTTTTGTGCCCCTTCTCTTCTTCCTTCTCTCCTTCGGCATGACGATGGTTCATGTAGTTGTTACCAATGGTTTCTTCTTCTTCCGTCCCTCCTCTGGTTCTTATTATCCTCTCTTCTTCTTCTTCTTCTTCTTCTTGTCTACAACGCTGCTCGACCCTCTCCCTCTGTTTCCTTTCTTTTTTCTTTCCTTCTTTTTTTCTCTCTTCTTATATGGGGGACGATTCCTCCTCTCTTTGCTTTTTACCTTTCTAGGACCTATAATGGTGTCCTGTCTCATCCTCCTTCTGACTCAAACTCTTGTCCCTCTCCACACGCGGCCGACGTAGTTTGAAAACACATGGCATCGTCGGGTTGGTCCTGCTTCTCCCTCCCTCCCTCTCTCTCTCTCAGATCTGTCCGATCCTCTTATTCCTTCTCACATCAGATGAGACTCGAGGCAGTGGTGGGTGCGTACATTGGTCGGATTAGTCATGTATCACCGTGTCCGCAACGCATATCTGCACAGTGTGATGATCAGCGCCGTTTCTTTTTTAGCCCCTAGACCTGGGCGGCATGTTCCTTATCGGTACTTGTACTGATAGAATAATTATGATAAGTGTTTGCTATAGCAAGTATTTATCCCTCCTCTCCAACTCTCTCCTTCTCCTTCTCTTTCTTCTTTCGGGGAATTAATTTTAGAGACTTTTTTTGATTTATTTATATAAAAAAAGTAATTCATCCTTCTCAGGTTTCTTCTCCCTCTAGGAATAATGAACCATCATTTGCATTCCTATCTGGACCCTCGCTCGATCCATTTGTGATTATTCCTCTGCTCAGCTCGTGAATCTCCGACCCAGCATCGCTCTATCCACGACCAGTCTTTTACGGAGGAGTGCAGGTTACAGATTACAGATTAGAGTAATTACTTGACTGCTACAGTGCTGCCACCACCGCCATGACTATTACCAAACACGGTTCGGCCGTGGCCGTTTGAGGAAGTAATAGAGGCTAGGATATCCTGTTTATCCGCCCTTTTACCGTCGTCCGGAGATCAGGGGTGTGCAGCCCCGACCCCAGCTGCAGCTCCCTTCTTCTTGGCTTCTCCTCCAATCTCATGACAACCGAAGTATTATTATATTACATGTCTCCGTACCGGGTTCGTACTCACCACTACGAGTGCGGACACAAGTCGTGGTAGAGTCCGGATGGTGGTCACCTCTCTAGTCTTACGGTGCACGCCCGTACCCACACCCCCCAGCCTTACCAATCCAACCCGCCTGTTCTGTCCGTCATCTCCAGGTGGTGAGGTGCTTCTGCCTGTTGGTCCTCGTGGGTGGTGACCCCCTACAAAAAAAAAAAAAAAAAAAAAAAAAAAAAAAGGAAAAAGTCAGCCTTCCGGGAGCTTCTTCAGCGGGCTGTCGGTAGTTGATCGGATCAGCAAGCAAATCGAGGCGGTGCCTGTCTAGGCGGCAGATGAACCAACAGTCGCCCTCTCCGTCTCGAGTCTCCAGTCGACGCAGAGAGGATGTGAACAGAAGAGAGAGAGAGAGTAGGTGGGGAAGGAGGGAGGGGAGAGGAGAGGAAGGAGGAGAGACTAAAAAGTGAGGAGGGGAAGAGAGACAGAATTGAGAAATGGGGGGG